TAATTAAATTGTACAATATTTAATTCCGTATGTCATTTTTATATTCTGAAATAGCATAATAACGTTGTCGATGTGTCTGAAATAATTTATTATTGATAATCTTAATATCATTTTTCATTATATCCTACAGCAATATTAGTTTACTTGTATTTATTGTCTTGTTTTTATTTGAACACTTACAAACAACGAAACATATTATTAGCATAGCATAGCATAAACAAATATAAAAGTATATTTCAATTATTAATAATAAACAATTATTCTACAAACTTCAGAAAGAAATCGGTCGCCTTACAGAAAGTTTTATACAAAAATTACCTTTCTCATCATTATAAGTTTTTCTTCAGAGTACATTTGCATACCAAAATCCATACTAATATTGTGAACGAGAAAGTGTATCCGTCGGTCTGTTTACGTCCTTTACATGACTAAATAATAATATCTCAGGATATTCCACACAGCGCCATCTAGTCCCAAGCTAATCAGTGCTTATGTTATGGGTACTACACAACTGATATGAATACGTAGATACATACATAATATACATAGTAATATACTCATAAATACAAATGTTTGTATCCAGTATTTACAATGTAAATTGTTCCCTGGTAAAACTAAGTAGTAATTAAATAGGAACTTGATATTAGGTACCAGTTTCCTTCTCTTACAATTCACAATGATTGGAATTACAATTTATAAAAACCTATTAATTTAAGCTTATCATTATTTACTTGCAGTATGTGTGTGTGAGTGAAAAAATCGAATTCAAGGAATCGAACCTTGATGGTCATCAACGGAAGTAAGGGGATGTGCTAAAACATTAGACTGCCGAGGTTCAACGGATGTTGATAAGGTTAAATATAAGATAGTTACTACTACAAGATTCTTTTTTGACATGAAACATAACCCATGTCTGTATTATAGGTTATCTTTTATTAAAAAAAAACTGTTATGGGTAAAGTAGGAGATGAAAGTTTGTGTATATATATATGTTTTTTTTGTGTATATATATATAAATATATATATATACACAAAAAAAACTGTTACGGGTAAAGTAGGAGATGAAAGTTTGTGTATATTAAGTTAAATGCAACAATTACTATAAGTATATAGAAAATAACCCAGAACATAATTTATACATACTAGCTATTACCTCTGTGTTCCTACGACAACTTACACTGAAAAATACATTAACATGAAAGTGATGTAATCACGAGAAGGGAATCACTTTATATAAAAACTTGAATTGCTCTATCTATTGCTAAAAACTGCATTAAAATCCGCGTAGTTCAAATCTAAGCGAACAGACACCGGAATTACTTTCTTCTATACTTTGTTGATAGAGAAAAAAGTTAAGAAACCATTTTATGGTAATCGAATCAGCAGTTCAACAATAAAAGTACCAAAAGAACAAACTCATTTCGTATGTACAATAGTAGGATTATTATTAGAGTTATATTTATAAGTAACTAATTATGTAGGCCTTATCCGATATTTCTATTAGTAAATATTATTGTAACATTTTTTTTATAATAATATAGTAACCCTGGCAAACAACACACAACGCCGTCTAGTCCCAAGCTAAGCAGAGCTTGTATTATGGGTACTAGACAACTGATATAAATACATGGATACATTATTTTTTTTGTAAATAAATACATATTATGCAGACCGATACAAACAATCATACTCATGAATACAAATGTTTGTACCGTGCGAGGAATCAAAACCCACGACCATCGGATAATAAAGCGGTGTGCTAAACCACTAGACCACCGAGGCTGTCAGTATGTCCAGTGAATATAAATAATATATTCTTTTGATCTATATACCGTGGTTTTTTCGGAAAATAGTATAAGACCTAAATGAAAGGGACGAATAAAAAAATATTGCTGAATAAATGTAGTAAAACCTTACTGGTATTGTTTTGTTTGATGTCGTTGAATAATATTTTTACAAATTTACAATGTTTTTCGATTCCTTGAAACTATTAGGTTCTATAATATTCCTTTGTTTTACTATTTTCATTTCATTTGAATTTATTTAAATAGAAAGCGGTAGTGATTGGTTTAAATTTAGAGTGTTATTTATTTAAAATTCGAACGGTTTTAAATTTCCCGCCAAATTGATACTCTGAATAACTGGTGTTAATATTTACGGGACAATAGATACACATACTGAAATAGTATAATATTTTTTTTTATAATATATACCTACCTGCTTTTACCCGCTAGTCCCCGTGAGACATACTAACAACCCGCTCTATTCAGAGTAGCCAGTTATATATGTATGTATACATAAGATAGTTACTACTACAAGATTCTTTTTTTGACATTAAACATAACCCATGTCTGTATTATAGGTTATCTTTTATTAAAAAAAACTGTTATGGGTAAAGTAGGAGATGAAAGTTTGTGTATATATATAATATATGATAATGGAGTGGTACACCTACCTGCATTATGTGTTTACGCTGGCAGGGCAACAGCGGAGCATGAGGTCAGGCCAGTTATGATAGTTTCCAGGGGAAACCACATGGATGTCAACCTGACAGGGTACATTGCTGTATATATACCTATATATACGTGTGTTAAAGTTATATAAATAGATAAATTTAGTTTTTAGTATTGCTATGCTTTTTTTATTTATCTAGACCAATCCTGCGACATCTATCACTTTCTATTTTCTCTCCTATACCCAAACGTTGTCTGGAAGTGATTGTTTATGCGATAAGACTGTCTTTTGTGCCTTTTTACTTATTATGTATTTATGTTTTTGGTGCAATAAAGAGTATATAAATAATAAATAAATCTATATTGGCAACATTGTATTCCCCAAAAACAAAACCGAATCATATAATGTTTGATGAAATTTAGACCATAAACTATGGAAAACAACGGTTGATTTGCTGTGACAATTTAGATGGACCATATTTTTTGACAGCGCGTACGAAATTTAATTAAGTCATATTTTACAATATACAGGCTGATGTTATACAGTCCGGCAGGGCCGCACCGCCCGTGTGTGCGAAGTATGCGGCGCACACAGGGGCCCCGAGGCGATAGAGGCGCCGCGCCGCGCGCCGCCATCCTATTTTTTGTTTTAGTTGAAGTCAACAAAGGTAGCAAAAACTATTTCAGACCATATGCCATCTATTAAAGATATTTATAAAATTATTATTTTCTATTTTTAATTAATTAAACTCAATAGCATAAACTATAGCAAATAGCAACACCAACTTTTAGTATACGTTTCGCACACAGGCGATGTATCGGGTCGGCGCGCCCCTGCAGTCAGGTGATATTCGTTCAGTAATAATACATTAATTTAAAGGCTGGCCGTTTTATAAAACGGCCAGCCGTTAAATTACTGTTTCAAATTTCATGTATCCCTCGTAATACTAACAGGTTCATATTTAGCGTTCCGAATTCAGAAAAGTAAGTATTTGTGGCATTTTATATATCATCTAGGTGAAGGCACAGATCAACGAGGAATATATTTTTTTATACAAACGAATCTTATTACTCTGTGTACTTAGTACTCTTACAGAACAGTAACGATGATGATTGATGATGCTTGATTGATTGATTGATGCGACTTTATCTATGTGCCCGTTCATCTGTCACAGCTTTACGTATCGGAACTATTTGAAATATTTTTCATATTCTATCATAATAAAAATATAAACACATTAATTATTTTTAAACTGATAATTTCTATAAATGATATTATAATAAAATTTTAACAGATTTTATGTAAAACAGGCAGTAAAAATTATCATTATTAAATTATGCATATATTAGGTTCTTTACCTAATATATGCATAATTTAATAATGATAATTTCTTTGAAGGTGAGAATAATTTTATTGCTTGTAGGAACTGGTCTGCTCTAATCATTTTGACTGATTCACTCTTATATAATTCTCAACCAGTCGGTTGTATATTTAATATTTTCTCTATTTGAGTATTTAATCTAATTGAGTAGTAGTTGGTAGTTTGTATTCACACACTTCAACTTAAAAATGTAACAACAAAATGATTTAAAAGAGCAACACACAAGTTTCTTGCTCATTCTTCGTGTGATGAGATAAAATTTTCCGCATGAGCGGTAGATAAAAAAAAATGTGATGACTATTCAAAAGTGCTTCAATGTAAATTTGTTTGATGAATGATTTTCTATTCTATTCTTTCTCTTGTAATAAATTCGTTCAGTTTTTCCTTAAAATAGGCAGTAGAATAAGAACCTAATTTTTATAATGTTACATTTATCTTAGTAGTAAAAAAAGGTGTTAAGGTTTACAGCTTCGAATATAAGAGATTGGTATGCCTTTTCGGTATTTACGATTTTAGTAAATAAGGTCTTATTTTCATAGGAATCAATGTAAAGAACAGGATATTGGTATGAACGCTGTTAATTAATTTTCGGGTATGAAACCTCAAATAGGTACTGTATTTTTTCAGTCTTCTTCCTTTTGCTCCAATCATTACTGTTCAAATATTATGTAATTTTGACAAATAAAACTCTATAAATATAAGATTTTTTTCACTGATTTAAAACATTTTTGCGGATATAATACAAAATATAAATAACTTTCGAAATAAAATATAATGTCAAATATATAAAAATAAAACGATTACAGAACGGCATGTAAAAATGCAAAGCACAAAATGAATTATTCTAAATACAATAGTCAATCATACAAACACACACACAGTAGATAATAAACACAATAATAAAAACAGTTAATTTAAGTTTTTTTTTATATAACTTTTGTGAGTTACTTTGGTATAAGTAATTGTACATTTGGATCACCAAACCGTCACACATAAATAAATAAATTTGTATAAAAATAACAATTCATTTATCATCCTAAATTATAAAAAAAGGAGATTACAACAACACAATAATAGACTGACCTGCGTGACAGGCCGTACAACGACAGGGGCGGGTAGCGCTGGGTGAACGCCGCTTCCGAGAGCGGTGCTTTGAGAGCCGCTGCTAAACACAATCCTCTCCCTCCAGGCCATCTAGCTCTAACAACAAAGTACCTTTCTTTAATCTCGGTAGTATATGGGTTAAAATAACGCCTCGGTTCCAATGATAGCAGGTTCAAATTCGCACGATAAAATATTTGTATTCATAAGTTTGATTGTTTGTATCGGTCTGGATGTTTATTATGTAGATTAGGTGTGTATTTATAAAAAAAAATCCTAAATATCTATATCACTATATCTGCTTAGCTTGTAAGTAGATGGCAGTATGTGAATTAACCAGGGGTTAATTCGCACACTTCTTATTGTTCTTGTTATTCTACTGTCGCTTGTCTAGTACCCATAACATAAGTTGTTCTTAGCTTGTGACTAGATAGCGCTATGTGCTGTGTAAACAATATAATTGTAAATGGACGGTAATTGTAAACAAAATAAGTTCACGTGAAAATAACAGATTCTTAGTCCCCTGGAATGATGAGGCATGAGTGATATCGCAGATGTTTTATAATATCTTGATATCCGAAGCTGTTTATGTATAAAGATGATGGTTACCTAAAAATAATATTCAACACGCATTTATACATAAAGTTCAATCATCTTATTAGAGATTCTAACTGGCTAAAGCATCTGAGATGCAGAAGGTGGGTAAAATAGTAAAAAAAACTATAAACACATGTGTGAGTGTTGCGATTTCAAGACGATAATTTGGGAGAAAGTAAATGTTGTTGTTTTGTTGTGAAAAGTACATAAAACAAATGAACAGAAAAGAACGTTTTATTTTTTGTAAATGCTCTCTCGCCGAAGCGAGAGAGCATTTACAAAAAAGGTTGTGTGGAAGAGATTGCATTAGTGATAAGACTGCCTTTTGTACGAAATTTTATTTTCAACCTTTTAATTTTGTTCGTGTCTATACACAGTGTTTACTTTAAATTTGTAATATTTATAATTATGTATATATGTAGTAAATAAGGGTATATTAAGGTTTCTTAAGGGTCGGCAACGCGCACGTGACACCCCTGATGTTTCAGACGTCCATAGGCTACGGTAACCATCTACCATCATATGGGCCGTATGCCTATTTGCCACCATAGTAGTATAAAAAAAATAAAAAAAACCACGTATTTTTAACATTTGTATGTTAAAATATAACCCTGAAGACTAAGCCTTCGTTCCCAGCAGGATATACGGCCTTAAACGAATATTGGTTCCGACTTGATTTAGATCATAAAGCGAGGCATGCATGACACGTATTTTGCTTATAAGCTATACATAGTCAGGGATATCATTCAAAGGATTGCCGCAGTATGTGCGTTCACTTAATAATAGTCTTAAATTAATCAGAAGGAAGGTTTATACAGCCTTCACAAGACGTTATGAGACTTCCCTACCAGTTAATTTGGGTTTACGCATGTACTATAGGAATATACAAAAGTGTATTTAAAAAAAAAGAGCTTATTAATGTTTTGTAATTATGTTGTATAGCCGGTACTTCAATATCTTATTGTTGTAATTCTACCTACGTTTATAATAAATAAATAGTCTCGCATTACATTGTACTTTATTAAAACCTGCTCCCGTTGTATTTATATATAAGCTAATTAATAAACGATCTTTTTTATTTTAAGGCATTAGCAAGTCATTTAACGGCCCGCCTGTTAGGTGCAGGTAGGTGGCAACCTTCGTTTATACTGTTTACCAACACGTTAAGAAATAATAACATTGGACAATTAATACAGCGCCATCTAGTCCCAAGCTATGCGGAACTTATGTTATAGGTACTAGACAACTTACAGAAATATATGTAGGTATATAACTGTGTATTTTGTAGTAAATACAACTAGATCAATACAAAAAATCATGAATACAAATGTTTGCATTGTGTCGGATTGCCGGCGAACCCTCGACTATTCGAAGCTAAGCCAAGCCAGGTTTAAAACCAAGTATATCAAACATTGGTAATCATGTTATACTCATTTTCATAAGTTGCCGTTCCTGAGAATAAGGTGTCATGTCTTCATATCCTGTAATTTAACTACTATATTTCATCTTTCAATCGAAACTCCGATTACAAAGGAAGCATCTTGATAGCCGAAATGGATATGCAGACAACTACATACAAAATTTATGGTAAAACTATGGTATTAAGGAACAAGGCTCACTTGATGGTAAGTGATTACCGTCGTCAATGAGCATCCGCAATACCTGGGGAATTGTATGTCCACTGCCAGCGTCTTAAGAAGGACCTAACCTCTTTTCTTAAAGGTTTCAATATCGCATCGGTTCGGATCCAATCAAAGATCAGATCAAAATATTGTCAACGCTAGACTAACCTGTGCGTCCGGTCTGACTGCCTCTCACAATACAAGCTGTAACCTCCTGACTTGAAGGCGGCGGAGTGGCCGGCTTATCGTTGGACTTCTCATTGAAACAACCCCTGAAATATTGTATATATTTATTACATTTTATTGATACTTAGTTCTCCGAAATAACAGTGCATGAAGATAACATTCGATATATATATACATATAACATTCGATACATATTGTTAATTTGTTTTTTAGTAAGAAAGAGTGTGATATAAATCAAACTTGTGACCTGTTCCCATGAAGCGTTTATTGCACCATTGTATTTTAAAATTACATAGGAGTACATACATCCACCCTTTTGTTTGGTGATAAAATTTGTCGCGTGATGACCGGCGCTTCTTAGTGGTCGATAGTGCGATGTTGTCTACGCAATGTTTGGTCAACCAGTGGTTGTTGAGGATGGCGCCTATGGTATAGAGCTTTATATTACTCACAGCAGATTTGCTACTATTGTTTTAATTATATTTTCAAATATATATACATTTATAGGGTATGTATATATTTATAGGGTAGTCAGAGCAATTTGAATGGTGAATACAACAAGAGCGTGAGAGCGTTGTGGTATGAAACCCGTCTTAGATGCCAACGTCCGAAATTAAAATTAACATACTATAGTCTTTAGAATAATTTTGTTAGTATTTTGTTTATAATGTATCTTTTAATATAACAAAAGAGTTGTGTATAAATAAAGTAGTACAGCAAACATGGAAATTAATATCCGGGGCTATCCGAAATAAAAAAAATACTCTTATCAAACCTAAATAATACAGACAGATGGCGGTAGGTCAACAATTTCTATTTTTGTACTCTTAACAATTTATCGTTGACATTTTGTCAGTTATTTCTTATTAAAAAAGACAAATCTGTCTATATCTTCTAAGATATAAAAGTATCCTGAAAAGGAAATACCCGTCGTAAAATATTCAAATCTTGAATGAATTTACAAAATAATTCTACCTTAGTCGAACCTTGTCAAGACATTTATTTATAGATGGCAATTTATTTTACAGATTTTCTGTACTCAGGAGGTTTTTAGGTGTAAATAAATTTATATTGTTCCGTATTCCGAACCTCCTTAGTCTAAGCAGGTTGTATCACCGGCTTGCTTACTGAAGCAAAGGGCGCTCGGTAATACTGGCCACATATAAAAACATGTGGCCACTTAAATTTCGAAAAAAAGAATAATAAAACAATTGAAAATAAGAACTGGAACAAAAAGGACGCTCCGTATTTTTATCTATATAAAACAAGATAATTAAGGAATTATTTAACACAATATAATTGTTTTTGATGAAAATATACACTGTAGAGTGCGTGGCCACTAAACAGTACTACACATCGGGACGTTCCTGAGCAAAGGTGAGTAAGTTTGGTGTTACATTGCTTACTTTGGGGTGTTCGGAGTGTGGAAGACGTTCTTCTAGGTCGAAATCGTATTTTTACTTCCTTTTCCATTAATTATTTTCTTTTCAATAAATACAGTCCACTCTCTCTTTTATATATTAATTTATAAGGATTCGTAATCCAACATATATTAAGTTGAAAGAATAAATATTATCTCTTTAATGTATAGGTAACTATTACCATTTGACCCGTTAAACTACGTACAATACATTTTGTAACAATTTTTGACCAGTGAATAGCGAAGATATTGTATTTATCATCCAAGTAAAGCTTTGAATACAATTAATTTCAAATAACTCCGCATGCATGAACGACTGTATTATGGGGGCAAGGAGATTGGTAGTAATGTGGACTGTTGATCCTATTGTTACCAATGTGCTATATCAGGTTGACCTCCACGCGGTTCCCCTTGGAAACCATCATGATAAAATACTGGTAAATTTGTTACGATGGGCTAACTGACCTGCTTTTCATGCTCATCTTCATCATCCTCCACTGGTGCCCCACCAGCATGAACCGTTAGTGCTGGCGGATGCACAATTTCATTATCATCCATTAAATAAAACGGCTGTATCCTATACGGTTCTATTTAGTTAAGTTAATTAATCTTGTAATAGCTAAATGGGTTTTACTAGCTATTACCAGAAATGAAAACGTATTTTATATTCGTAATACTTTATTGGTACGTCTTAACAGAACTGTGGCCAAGACTAGAATGAATAATTTTCTCTAAATATCGTTTACAGATCAGTTTTGTACCCTCAATATTTTAATAAAAAATATGAAACTAACTCGGTCGATATCAATAGCATTACTTCTATTTGTAATTAAACAACTCATTATTAATCAGCACATAGGATCATGTTAATATTCCATTACTATAAATATATCTACTATACAACTCTGCATAGTTATTATCGAAACTATTATAATCTAACACTTGATCTCCATTTCGTACATAACATAACACATTTTTTTTTATCAAAGTATATTAAACCGAAGTAAAGTTTATCTACTATGTTATTAAATAATATTAGAGGTATTTAAATTGTGAGCGTCGAAATCTAATAAGTTTGCCACACAAACTTATTGACACTAATTTTTATTTGCTTGAAATTTTGTCCTACTCGTAATTTATTTTTTAACCAATATTCACTTTAATGTAAATAATATAAATGGAGCAAGAGTCTCGACACCGAATGGGACAAAATCATATTGTTCCCCTGTATTGGAACAACAGAGCTGGTGCGGCTTGCAAAGCGGCTGAAAAAGCTAAAGCATGCAAATAATATAAATAAACTAATTTAATAATATTGATTGTTACATATCACACAGTGCTATCTAGTCGCAAAATAACCTGTACTTGCATCACCAATTCAAACTAGTAAATTTTTTTGTATTAGAAGTGTATTGTTTCTCTGTAATGTTAATAAATGTACACGAGAAAAAGGTCCACCGTTTATTTTAATAGCTTTTGGCTATGGAAAATAAAAGGAAAACGTGTAAGGAGTATTCCGAACACACGAAGTACATGCAATTTAGATAATACTAGCTACCCTACCCGGCTTCCCACGGATGTAAAAGTATTATATATATAAACCTTCCTCTTGAATCACTCTATGTATTACTAAAAACTGCATTAAAATTCGTTACGTAATTTAAAAGATTTAAGCGAAAAGAGTGGATACGACATCATTTTATACCATGTAAAGATTATTTCCTAAATGTTTATTATTACATTTTTTTAATGTAATTGCAATGGCAAATAGGATTTTGACTCGCTGATGGTAACTGGCAACTGCCGCCTATATACATGAACAGCCATATGGGTCATATTATCATGTGCTTCTCCTGATACCGCTCATGCTTTATCAGTCTGGAGGACTAAAATGTTAAGATTATTATACTGTAATTTCACTGCCTTTTCTACAATCAGAAACCAGCGTACAAAACAATCTATGTGTGCTGAAATATGTGAAACTGATGTACCCACGCATATCAAACTAAATTAATTTAAAAGACGAGAGTATGTTCACTCTGCGCCACATTCAAACAACTTCAGTTAAATGCGAGCATGTCAAGTAATATTGTAGTTGCCTCTGACTCGCTTATATGGAGTTACAGTCTGGGAGTATAGTTTTGTATATATTATTTATACCTGTTCAAATGTTCAGCAATTTATTTTTTATAATAAGAGATTGCATTTTATACGAAAAATCTCTTTACAAAGTTTGGCTAAGGTTAGAATAATACAAATATTTCGCCGTTTCCAAATATTAATGTATAAATTTATATATATCAGAATTCAACGTTTAAATTTATTAGATGCGTATATAAATTCAGGAAAATATTTTCGTGTATACTATTTTTTTGAGGTATTTACATTTATTTCTGTACGGCATACTGCCACCCACCTTTTTTCTTTGTAGGTAACAACATCCAACAGTCTGTTTGTGAGATTGTTTTTATCATAAATACCTTTTGTAAAGCACATTCTTATACAATATTCTTCCTAAACTATTTACAGTGCAGAAAAAAGTTTTGTTTTTATCTTTCTGGCAAGCAATGTCTATTTCTGGATACATTAGTTACGATGTTTTATCCTATTATACAAGTTTGAGTCCCTATTATACAAGTTTATATTAGGGTGGAAGGGGATTACCATTGACATTGATAGCAATGTACTAATGCCAGGTTGACCTCCACACAACCCTCAGTTAGAAATCATTATGGTTGATTGTTAGTAATTTCATTACGATGGGCCAATTATCTGACCTCACTCTTAGCTTGTCATGCTCCACTAACCCGCCAGCGTATACCGTTAGCGCAAACGTGTGTACCATTCCATTATTATTCATTACAAAATATAGAAGTATATTAATTGAATAATATTATCAGAATAGACTTTAACAAAAAACCTCAGTTGAGTTTCTTGTCAGTTATTCAGAAATGAAACTAACCTGCGTTGGACAGTTAGGAATAAATAAAACTCAAGTCTGATTGAAGTACAGAAAACGAATAAATAAATTTTTAAATTTATTTATTATTTATTGCCCTTTAGGGCATTGGTCAAAATCTGACCCAGTTAACAAAAGTACATGAAATTGTTAAGTATTAACCAACTATTAATTGTATGTAGTATTTTTTTTTTTAACCATGAGAATAAAAATTAAAGGATGAATAATAAATCGGTATTTAGTGAGCATTTGTATATATAAAATGTTTAGATAGAACAATTTCAATGAGGCATTCTATTAAATAATCAGAACAAACGATTGCAGGGTAAGAATGCATGATAGAGTCGCATTACAAACTAAAAATCCAGTTTGTAATGCGACTCTATCATGTCTCTGAACCATACCACTTAGTTACACAGTAGTTAAATTTGGTTGAAAGAAATAGAAATAGAAGTAGAAATAATCTTTATTCAAATAAACTTAATATAAGCATTTTTATTAGTCAAGTTTTTTGATTCTACCGCTCATTCCGAATGCAGATTCATCACAAGAAGAATGAGCAAGAAACTTGTGTGTTGCTCTTTTGAATAAATATTGTTTTAATTTTATTTACATTAACAAGGATTAACAATGATCTATGTTGAATGTCGCATGCCTAATGCGACAATCAACATAGAAACCATTACACACTTAATCTCTGTTTAATC